TCTAGCATGAATCTGAGAAAGAAAAACTCAGCAGCACGAGGAAGCTGGTTTTTTTTCATGACCTAAAATGATGAAGAATGCAGGAGCTCAGCAGTCCTGCTGATACCTGACACTTCTGTTGAGTTGGAGGAGAAAACGCCATTCATATTTCATWTTCATATTTATTAACAGTAGATGCAGTAGTATCAAAGCACAAGAGGTTAACCGTCCAGCTCAATATGCCCACCTCGAGTTTTTATAAAACACTAGGGTTCAATTACCTGAGAGGCTCTGGTCTATGCAGCGTGGGGGTAAAAACAGCACAAAACAGCTTTTAAGAGCTGTGTTGACCTAAGGAACAACCTTCACCCTCTCCCAGCCTCTGAAAGGATCCCCTCATGGTCTGAACCATGCTTTAGCTTGTGTGCTTTCTAGGCTCTATTGGTTTTGAGACACAGCAGCCTTTCAGCATTTGAAAGTCTTTCCTACCAATTGCAAGTTTAACTTAATGGTCAGTTTTGAAGAGAGGAAAAACTGCCGATTGTTATCACTTWTATTGGAATCACCGTCACCACAACGTTTTTAGCTCCCTACTTAGAAATCCCTAGATCAGGCCTTCTATTTTAATTTTCCATATCTAAAAATACATAATAAGGTAATTTCTTGAGATGCTCATTAGGGTAAAAGAATGTCAACGATGGTTTATACTCTGACTCGATAATGTGTCTTCCATCTGCTGCAACCTCTGCTAAAAAAAGACATTTAACACTTGGCAAGCTTTCCATATAATGTCTTTGGTGGTTTGTTGACAAGAATTATAGGGTTTTTTTCCCCTCCACTCTACAAGGAAACATGTTTTTTGCTGAAACTGCACATACCAAACTGGTAAACTGAAGGTTCAAGCAAAAGCAGTGCTCGGAGCTCAATGTTGACACTGCTTTTCATCCTCACTTTTATTCCTTTGCACATTAGACACAGGAAAAATGGAGTAAACATCGTTATGTTTTTTTTTTTTTACTTTGAAGTTGCGCTGAAGCAAAAAAAATCTGCCAAGTAATGCAACATTTCTCTTTAACTTTATAAATATCGTGGAAAAAACACTGTTTAGCACTACAAAACAAAGTCATCTGTCATTTGAAAACACTGCAGAATGTGAAGACACACGAGTGAATTCTAGGAAGTGATCATAAATACTAATGCTAGCTTCTTTGTAGAGAGAGGCAGAGTTTATCTTTATCAGGGCTATGTTTGGTTTTTATGGGCATTATAAGTTAGTGTGGTGTTCTGAGWTAATGCTAATCCAAAACTGTAACCATTAGCATGTAAGAAACCTGACATTTGGTCATATAAAATAAACCGGGTATTAAAGTTGAGGCATTTTCTTTGTAGATTTTTGATTAAACAATGAGCTCTTGGGGGCATTGGCTGGATGTCTGATCCAAAGACCATCAGAACTTAATTGTTTTAATAAGAAACACCAGGTTTTCTTGGAATCATTCTGATGCTTGCACACTGACCTCAAGATGAAACTCTGTTACTGGAGTGCTAGATCCCTCCTGAGTTTAGTTCTGAAAATGGTTTGCTTATAAGCTAAAAAAACTAATAAATACTGTGATATTATTGATCAAAAAACATAATAGGGAATAGCAAAAACTGAACACATTGAAAAATATGACCAAAACAAAATATAAAGATATCTACACCCCACCGGGAGAAACTACATTCAACTTGTCTGCACTCCTAGACACTCCAAGTACAACAGGATTATTAAGGGCTGAAAAAGTGGATATTGCAAACTATGTCTCCTTTAATGATTGTTTCCAAAGCGCAAAGTCAAAGTAAAAAATCCACTTGAAATTTCACTCATTCTACAAAAGATGGGGGGTTGATGAAAACAAACCAAAAAGAAGTTCTAAGAAGATTAGGAAGTGTCTGTACTTGTGGAGAMAAGGATCGATGCTGTGATTAGAGATGGGATAAATGACTCTCTGAAGGGATCCGGATCTTGGGGAGCCGTTTGTTTCATAGAGCCGTTCAAAAGAGCCGTTCGATTTTGAACGTATTATGTCATCACATAAGGAAATACATCATCACGCAGCCGTAATGACGTAATCCCGTCACGTGGGTGGAGCCATGTGTTTGTCAAACGGAAACCCCCYTCCCCCTTTCACTGTGAGCTTCTGTACTCCACAACTCCGCCTGTTTTCCATGAAAAAGCAAAGCGGGAGCGATTTAAGTATGAAAAAATAAAGATTTTACGAGGAATAAAAGAAATAAAAATACAAATGGCTTGTTACTGCCTGCGATTTGGCTCCTATCATTCATTGTAAATAGCCATTCAAAAGATTTGGATAGTTCGCGAATGTCACATCTCTGGTCTATCCAAGACAGATGGGCATTCCAGGAGTTTAGTTGGCAAACTCAAATTTCTAAAAGCTGAATTACTCTTGGAGTTTTAGAATTAAGTCCTGTCTTTGTTCACAAAAACGCAATTTCAATTAGATGACTGAGAAGAAAATGCCTAATTCTGCCCTCAAGGTGAAGGGAAAATAAATGCAATCACTGTTGTATTTTAGGAAGTATTTGTAAATTATTTTGTTCCTTTCCCCCCGACAGCCTCCATTCAGGGCAAAGTTTAAACCACTAAATATAGAGCATTTGAACTGATCAGCAAAGTTGCTAGCTAAAGTTTGGTTAACATTCTTCCAGCTAAGTGTAAACTGAGGAGGCATCCTGGAGGATCCATTAAGCCGTTATAATGAACTAACCTCTCTGAACCACCAACTTTGGCAGCAAATAGCTTTTTCCATTTTCTTCCTGACTTTCTTTACGCACAACTCCACTCCTGAGCCAGAAAGTCCTGCTCATAAAACAGACAGATGATATGGCTGCAAAAAGAGCGAGGGCAAAATCTATAATTAATTACAGAAATTGTTGATTCCAGTACATTATTTGATCGTATAAACATTTTCATACTGCTCCATTGGCTTGCACTTTTGATTTTATAGGGTCTTTTTTTTCTGCATCTTTGGGTGAAATCTGAACACTCCAATAGATCATCCAGTAATCTCTGACTGATTTCAGCCTGCTGATTTACCACAACTGCACCTAACTTTAACCCCAACAAACCAGCAATCTACACAAACTACTGTTCCAACTGAAACAAAGACCACAAGAAAACTATATTGTCAAGCCAGTGCAATGGAAAATACTTACTTGGCTTGAGACAACAAGCTGGAAAAGTAGAGAAAGCTGAGTTTGCTTATAGCTCTGACCTAGATTCGCTGTTCTGTAAAAGACATACATCACCTAATCCAGGGTAAGGAAAAGTCGATAAATGTACTAAGTAGCGTAGTTGTTGATGGTTTCAGTGGCTTTAACAGCAAAACCTTCAGTTTCCATTTCTAGACTTGTTACATATTCATACTTTTAGAGCTCTGTGCAACAAGCTGCAACAAAATGCAATTCTTTCACAAGAATAAAGTGACAGAAGTCAGCTGTTTTCCAAAGAGTTCGCTTGAGGATCAGTGCTGGTTTAGGTCTGAACAGCTTGCAAACTGAAACAGCCCTTTTAATCAAACGGAGTGGACACTTTTAGTACCTCTAATTCAATGTACTCTCTACGTAGCTGTGTAATAAACAGATCAATGTGTCAGAAACCATTAAAGGCTTTGTACTTATCCTGCAAAAAGGAATGGATGCTAAATCCATTGAGCACGCTCACACCTGGTTTTGTTTGTACTGGCAGTGAATGTGGAGTAACGTCAAGCAGCCAAATGGAGCAGTTACATCGCAGGAGGTGTAGACATTTCAGATGCAGGCTAGCTGTGCTCAAAGGTAATCCACCGGGTTGACTTTACTAGTACAAAACAGTTCGACTGTAATAAAAATGTCAAATGGAATCAGGGACACAAAGGTTAAAGGGTCTCTACTTGGCAGGACCAAGGAGTTCAAATTCATAAAGGACATAACTCATGTAAGGCCTCTAAAGAAAAGATGTGTGGCTCCTAACTTCGGCTTCCCATTGAGCTGATTTTCAGCTGGAGCGAGGATTGAGAAACAGATCCATGAACCCTAAGGCAAGACACATGACACTTCAAAGTACTGCACCTCGGTGGACCCTCTTCTACAAGGCCAGAGTGGTACTCGCACCCAATGTGAAACCTAAGTCAAGCTCACTTCCCTGTCACCACTTCCTCCACCATCCCTCTTCCTCCTTCCTCTGCCTTTGAGGAACACATGACTTCCATTACTGTTTTACTGTCTCAGCACACCAKTGAGGCGGAACATCCGAGCTTGTTACTGAGCCTAAGTCTTTGCAGTCTCTCTTGTTCTTACGAAAAGTCAGTCAGGTTGTTAGTGTTGTTTTAAAGTACAGTGTTTTACATTTTTACTTCACCCTAAATGCGGAAAGTCTATGTTACATTTCAGTTTTGGTCGTTTTGCACATTTTCTTTAAATAATCAGTAGCCGTCAGTGTTTTTTCCAGACCAAATGTTCTTCAAAACGTTTCAACTCACTTGTTGAATCATGCTTAGACGTGTGTCATGTCAACACGCAAGTGATATATAACACATTTACAATTGTCAAACTGAATTACACATGCCCTAAAACTCCATCTTGGCCCCAACTCTGAGCTCTTCCCAGAGGTTAAACAGCTGACTAAGGGCTCCTCTGCAGCTGGCATTTGTAAACCCAGCATGTTTTTCTGGCTTTCCATTAAAGTGAGGTTGAATAATTAATATGAGTCTGGAAGACATTCCTCTTGCTAGAGGCAACATTTTGGCTCGCAGCCTAAACCAACAGTGGGAAAAAACAGGGCTGACTTCGGGCCAAAGCGAGTCTCCAGATGGGGCTGAGTAACAGCTCGCAAGCATTAAACAAAAGAGGTTAAAAGAGTTGAGTTTAGGGGAAAAAAACTTGAATATTTGAGAAAACACATTTATAGAGAAGCATGTCTGTTCCTCACACACAGAGAGACACACACAGCACACATGCTGCTTATTGTTGTGATTACTCACCACTCTCGCTCTTCTCAATGACGTCGACAAGCTCGCCTGCTTGGAGACTGATTTCTGCAGGCTCTTGTTTCTCATAATTGGCCAACACCACGTATTGTTCCAGGAGCATGGGGTCCGAAGCATCCAGACCTGAGGTTGATGGAAAAAAACATGCTGTCAGCCAGCTGCCAGACATAGGTCCACGAGAACGGCTGCTGGGCGCTCGTTGTGCCATAGGCCACTTTGTCTGTAGAGCTCAGCCAATCACAAGATTCGGTGCATCTTCTCCRCAGTCTAGCCATAGAGCTGTGTCCCCATCTAGCCCAACATCAGGGTGATAAAAACGCTAAAGGTCTAGGAACAAAGACTGCAAAAAGCGAAGGATCAAATCCATTCTGTTTTTTACTGAAATGGCTTCATCCTYGTTCGGTAAAAGACGTGTTCAGGTCAGCAGACACAGGTGAACACGGTGTGAAGAGCAGGAGAGGCAGGAGAGTGAGCTGAAGCCAGCTGAGGACAGGACAGAAGAGTCAGAGAAAGAGTTTCCTTTGGAAAATAAACCATCTGCTGAAAAGCCTCCTTCTCCTAAGTTGGGGCTGGAGCTGGAGGGACAGCGGGGGGGTTGTGTAGGCCAATCACAAGAGTCGGCACTCAGGGCCTTAAAAAGAACCAGATGAAGGGGCTGGAGTTTTGCTCAGAGGGATGGACCCGTGTGTCTGCGAAACACTAGAGCTCCGACTGCGGCATGCAGCCCAGCGAATGAAACTCTTCCTCCCACTGCTTCACCAAGTTAACCATATAAGCACCAGAGGCTGGCTTGCTTTTCACTTGGTTTGTGGCTGCATTATTAACAGGGTCAACACCCAACTCAACACCAGACTATGGTTCATAAAAAAACAACACGACTAACATGTTTTCAATTAAAAGGTTGTTTAAAGGACCTACTGAAACCAGTTAACGTCTAAAACACTTCTTTGCAAGTGTCAGGCTTCATTAAATGAGTGAAGCTGAAGCCCTAATTGTGAAAAGTATTTAAAAACAGTCAGTTGAAGGAACTACATACATATCAGCTGGAATCCTGACACAAACCAGCTGATGTTCAGTTCACAAATGAACAGGAACTCAGCTGACTACTGAGTACAAAACYGCAAACAGAAGGAGCTTCTGTTTACACATTTTATATTCCCTCAGTTTTCAGTGATACTCATAACGCAGTAGATACACACAAATAAAATATGGTAACACTTTAYTTTACGGTACCCTTATTACCATGTAATTACAATGTAATAAAAAATGTAACTAAATGTAATTACTACCTTATTACCATGTAATTACATGGTAATTAGGGTACAATTTTACTATGTAATTAGTTGTCTGCAATAATGTAGCACTAACCTGGTAATGTATTACAATTCACTATGTAACACCTAAATAAGTAGTAGGTAATTTGGACAGTTTTAAAGTTGTATTTTATTGCAATTAACCACTAACCCCAAAATTTAGTTGCATTCTTTTGGTTATAAATATAGAGTTGAGTAACTATTGAATAGTAATTTGATTGTAGTTACCCAATAAAAGTGGTTTTACTAACAGTAGTTTTTCTTTTGTACCCTAATTACCATGTAATTACATAGTAATAAGGTAGTAATTACATTTAATTACATTTTTTATTACCTTGTAATTACATGGTTATAAAGGTACCGTAAAAGAAAGCGTTACCTAAAATACTATAAGAAAATTAATTTTAATCACTCTATTCAACATGGCTGCTAATCATAATAGCATAAAATAACTATCATGAGAGCTAAACATTTATATAGTAGTAGCCGAAAGTTATTCACAACACATGACATCTGAAGAATTGCATGAGATCATTATTTTTCTCTCAACAACCCAATTAACCCAATTTTGCCCTTCTGAAAATGGGACAGCCCAATCCTCATGACGGCTCTAACGATAGTTTTATGAGATATCCCTGCCATGTGTGCTGTGTTAAGAGTGATCTAGTCGGCTCGGAAGAAAGTTGAGACTTCTCCAACTTCAAATCAGTGATATTCAACATGTTGGTTTGTCTTGGCCTGATATCCCAGCGTGTGTGGAGTCCCCCCGAGAATAAACGAGCAAGCAGTCTGTTGAACATGACATGTAGCTAATCAGAAAGTGGGGTGATGAAAACACAGAAGGGAATCGCAAATACACAAGACAAAACAACCGTCATGGTGGACCAGAAAGTCCGGTGGACGTCATACTGTTTTTTTTTTCTCTGTTCAAAATATTCCACAAACTATCACCATTGCTTCTTCCTCGTCGGCCATTTTTATTTACTCTGAACTCATGTTTGAGCTCAAGGGGTTTCGCAAGATGAACCATTTGACATCTGAATGTTGAGTGAAATCTGTACATGTGGTGTCTTGTCTTTGCCGTGTGACTGTACACGTCACGCTGTAGGACCAAACCTGTTATATCTATGATTTTTTTCTTTCGTTGTTGTTCGTTGGGGTCTCTTAGTCTTTGAAAATCAACCAACAATTTTAAAACCTTGCCATGTGAACCGGGCATTATTTTTAAACTTTGGCATGAAAGGCAGCTGACAATATGAATTCTGTCAAAGAATGGCTTTTCATTTTAAGGACACTTTAGTCCAGTGAAAGGAAGGTATGGAGCTTAAAAGCAAAGATGACTGAGATGCTTTGAATAAGCTGCCTTTTTATCCAAACAGACAAATTGGAGATGGTCCCACAAACAAGGGATTAGAATTCCTCTAAATCTTGAAAATATGTAGCCTTAAATTCAAGGAATTCCAGCTACAATGACAAGAAAATAATAACTCAGCAGGATGAACTCAGCATCTCAGATGCTAGAGCTGCCAAAGAGTCTGACACTGGATTACTGCGGCTGGCCTGTGGTTTATGACGGCTTATCTATGCAAGATGTTCTGACAGACCACGGAACTGAACTCAGAAACAATCGAAGAAAACCATTTAAGCTCCGACTTTTTGATCCTCATTAAAGAATAGGGCAACAATTACTTTATTTCCAATTTAGCTTGTCAGTATTAATAGAACTGGCTTGAAGTAATTCGCCACTCAATTAACTCTCAGCACAGTTAGTGCAACTGAGTTCAGTTTCAACTCCACATTCAGGACAATATAAAGTGTTTTTATTACCCGCCGCTAAAAGGCAAACAACAGATAACAATGTTTTTGTTTTTGTCTGTGTGTGTGCATTTGAAATATCTCATGATCACATCTCAGAATTTTATGAAATTGTCAGAAATCACTTGATGCACATCAAGAGCCTATTGACTTTTGAAGTCAACCCAACACAAACGGGCTGCCACAGTTAATCAATCAAAGTGAATACATAAATCGTTATAACGGTCGGTTTTGTAAATATTGAGTTGAAATTTGAGGTGGTAGTAACTGAGAGTATTCTTCAACTTATACTCTGAGCACTACACACTTTGCAAAACCTTTGCTTAAAATACTGGCATTAATTGTTAGTCAGCTTTGTTTGGCTGTTAGCAAAATATCTCATGAACCACAGGACAGATTTTAATGAAACTTGCTGAAATTAATCCTTGGACACATATCTACAGCTGATTAACTTTTCGAGCCAACCTGGTTTAAGATGGCCACACAGCTAATCAACCCTTGCAAATGTAAAAATGGCTACAAATCAATTAATTTTACAGAAAAATGAGCTTGATGTAGTTAGAGCTGACAGATCACACACAATGGTATTTTTAGGTTTTGACCAAAATTTTCAAACTCTGGCCTAAAACATGGCTAAAATATGCATGACTTCAAGTAATGTAAGGCTTTTGATTTGTTCAAATTATCCTTTTAATAYGGTTAGTTAGGGTTAGGTTACGGTTTTAAAGTTCTTTATCATTCCATAATGGAGAAATGCATCTCTTTATATTACAAGATTTTTAGATGGAAGCTGTTTAAAATCTGCTGAATTTGGCCATTGAAAATCACAATGACATWCTGTATGTCTTAAAACTTCAAAATAGTTTTATAACAACAAAAGGGAAAAGAAAAGAAAAAAAACAGTTGTCAACAGCAGCCATAAAGCCACAGTCTATGCCAAACGATAAAAATGTAACATTCTGACCCTCGCAGTCTGCTGCCGCTGCGAGCGAGACATAAACGTGAGGCCTGAGGTGAGCAAGTAAAGACTTTGTCAGCAGAGTCAGCAGACCTGAAAACACAAAAGCTAATATTTCAGCTTCGTTCAGGAAATGAAATGTTTTGCAACAGCAGGAAGACGGAGCCAGAACAAGGAGAACGTGTGAGAAAAAAAGAGGTGAAACAGCCTTGGACAGGATATAGGTCTAATTTCAAATGACAGCCAGGAAYCAAACGAGCATTAGAAAAACAGAAGAAATCAGGATTTCAACCAACTGTAACACTTTAGTAGAGTTTCAAACTCTTTAATCAGTCAAAGATTGAAAACAATATGACTATAAAGCAAAAAAAGGTCTTGAAAAGTTATAAAGGAGCACATTAAACACCAAGCTTTAGAGAATAATCTATAAAAATAAAAACGAGGAAGTACCAAATTAAAGGCCTACAATTCCTTGAAGTCATGCATATCACCCACTGTGCTTTTATCATTAGTTGTAGGAACAGTTATAGCTGTTTTAGTCACAAAATACTACTACTACTACTACTACTACTACTACTACTACTACTACTACTACTACTACTACTACTACTACTA